GTGGGGGCTGCAGCAGCCCCCTCGCCCGGCGTCATCCTTTCACCCATTTGCCTCCAGCCTTCGCGGTGCATGCTCTCCGCCACTTTTCTCGTATCCTCCAAAAATTCCGCCGTCAGTTGCCGCGTCTCCTCGTCGCCGCTGTCGAACGACGCTTCCTTCGAGGAGCTCTTCTCCCTCGACGAACTCCTCTTCTTGCTCTTCAGCTTCGGACTCTTGAACATACCGAAGAATCCGCCCCCCTTCTCCTTACCCTCCTCCTCCTCTTCCTTCTCACCCATCACCCTTTTCTCCGGGGAATCCGACTTTTTATCGCTGTGCTCTTTGTCCCGCTTCCTCGCCTCCGACTTTCCATCACTTTCTTTCCGCGCACCGCTTTTTTCCGCCTCCCCCTTCCTACGAATCTCCGAAATGTCGTACGAATGCCCGTTCAATTTATCCTTGGGCGTGTCCTCGTTGTAACGAACCTGCGAGGTGAACGTGTACAGATCCTGTTTCCCGTCCACTATGGGGGATGAGGGAACAACGAGCGTGCTTTCGGCAACCTTTCGCGTATCGTCCAACAATCTCTCCGTGGCGATTCGAACCTCCTCGTCGCCACTGTCCAACGACGACTCCTTGCTCTTCTTCGATCTCTTCTCCTTCGACTTCGGACTCTTGAACATACCAAAGAAACCACCACCTTTCTCTCTCTCCTGATCGCTGGTGTCGTCCGCCTGCACGCCTCGATCTGCCCCATTCTTGATCGTTTCCTTCCCTTCTTCCTTTTCCTCGACCCGAGTCGAGGTGATCAATCCACTGTCGAGCGCGTGCACCTCCGAAGCGAGGCGTCTCGATTCGTCCAAGAATTGCATCGTGGCCAATTTAATGTCGGTCGCGGTTTGCTCGGCAGGTTTCATATCCATGTAAGCGTCGTACGAAACGAAAGTAGTTTTCGTTTGTTGCTCTTTAACGTCTTTATTATTAGTCGCCGCCACTTTCGATTCCTCGTCGCCGCTATCGAAAGACGTGTCCTTCGATCCTTTCGATTTGCTCTTCTTAAGTTTGGATCCCTTAAAGATCCCGGACAATATACCGCCGCTCTTGTCCTTCGACTTCTTCGACTCATCCTCTTGCTTCTCGTCCGTGGATGGATGTTGCACGTTGTAAACGCTCTCGTAAGCGGATATCTGCTTGTCGGTCGTGAGTCTTCCTTCCTTTGGAATGTTAACTTTGGGAATCGCCTCTTTCGATTCTTCGACTTCCTTCCCCTTCTTCGCGTCCTCCTCTTTCTTCGACGTTATCGATACGATACCAGCGGGTATCAATTTCTCGTCGATTTCCTTACCTTCTCTCGACATCATCTCCTTCTTGCTTATCGCGCTCTGTTTACCATTGGGGATCGTCGCTGCGTCCGCAGACGTTCGATCCATCTCTTTCATCGTTTCTCGTTCACCGATCACCGGTTCCCGAACACCCTCGATCACGGAAACTACAGTTTTCGATGTGACTATCCTCGCATTAGAGTCTCCCTTCCCATCGCGAACGACACGCTGCTTAACTATCGTCGGCTCGACGATTGGCGTTCGATCGATCGTAAGCGTTTCCTCGCCCATAAGGATCTTATCCTTGGGCTTTTTCTTAACAAACTGTTCCCTAACAAAACTTTCGACTATAGCACCTCTTGCCTCTTTATTGTCTCGCGTATCATCATCATCATCATCATCATCATCATCATCATCATCATCATAAACCACCGACCACCCTTCCTTAGCTAACTTCCCCTTCGCTTTCTCTGCGTCTGCTATTACACCTGTTAATTAAGTATTACATATTTTAGGCATCTGTAAACGTTGCAAAATAGAAAGAACACATTTGTTTTTTTTTATTTATTTATTTATTTATTTTTTTTTTTTTTTATTTCATTTCGCCATCATTAGTGTAAGCCGGCTCGCTCGATATTGCTCTTTAAAGAACAGCGTTAAGTTAGACTCTCGTGTGGTTTTTGTGCGTGGTATATATGTGCTATGGAGCAGTCATCCTTCTGTGTCCAACGATTTACACTTGTGTTTAAAAAATAATAATAATAATGATCGACGATAAGTTGAATTAATCGAATTGTTGCAAAAACAATTTCGAGAAGAAAAGTTAATTCAATTTCGAATGATTAAAATTGATAAATTATAAATTTAAAAATACGTAACGAAAGAGAGAATTATTACGAGTGGAATTAAATTGTAATAAATTTTTCAATATTTTTGCAATGAGAATAGTTTTAAATGTGTAATTTGTTTTTTGATTTTTCAGATAAAATTAATGGCGAAATAAGTGTAAGTAAGACAACTGCTCCGTGCGTCCGCACAATTAGGCCACACAAAATTTGGCCACACATGCAACGCCAAAAAATTGCGGTAAAAACCTTGCTGAAACAAATTAATGGGACGTGTCGAAGAAATAGAAGGCTATTAGTGGGTCATTAAAATGAAGACATTGAGAGTTCGCATTATAATACAGTAGATATGAGATTGAATAGGCAATAAAATAAATTGTCCATTATGTAAATTAAAATAAAAGCAAGCTGATAAATTTGAAGGAAATCCGCATCAGCCCTCCAGAACCTGTGAGTGAAAGTAAAAGATGATAAAATAAAAAAAAAAGGTGACAAAGTAAAAGAAGGAAATGTTCTAGTGCCAATAATATTTCATAAGAGCTAATTAACTTTCACATTTGTGATTCGTGTCCAAAGTCAATGCCGTGCTAAAAAAAAACTTCTAATAATAATCACCTGGTTTCTAATATCAGAAAAGAAAATATACATATATATATATCGAATGATTAACGTTGTAATTAATAATATCTAATAAAATTAAAAAAATTCTAATAAGATTAAAAAAGGGATGGATAATTGCTCCACAATTCTTGATAAAATATAATAAGTATCATTATTTCCAAAACATTAATAATCAATATATCGATCCCAATTATTGTTTTGTAAATAATGTATAAGAAATTATTATTTATTTCTACCAATACATAATGAAAATCATAGTAGAACCAAGAATAGAATACAATTTTTGTAAAAATAAATTAAAAGAAAAAAAATGTATAAATTAAAGATAGATACAAAAGATTATTATTGTAATTTTTTTGAATAATAATTATATTTTTTTGATTCTCAAAATATCCATATCATTCTTAGTTAAACAATGGTTTTCATTTTATAACGTAAAAAATAAAATATATAGTATATATAGAATAAATTCATGGAATTAACTCGACGAAGCTAAATAATCATAAATTACGATAAATTTTCACAAAAAAAATAAAACATGTACAAACATTAAGAAACAATCGTTAATAATATCTAAATATTTTAGTTACTAATAACTAAATTATATTAACAGTTGAAATAATCAAAAAAAAGCAATGAAATTTTTCTATTTAAATTATATGAAATAAATAATATATACTGAGATTTAAATAATGCATGTATCGATAAAAGAGACAATCGTTACATTTATTTGCACATCAATATAGACTATAGCTACGAACACGATATCACTAAAAAGCAAAGTTTCGAATATATACAACTATTCAGCACTAGCGATTGAAATTTTATCAATATGTAGTTAATTGTATAAGTTGTTCTTTAACCAAGCGTGATATTATCGCATTAAATTAATAATCATGCGTTTCTTTTCTTTTCTTTTTTTTTTTTTTTGTTTTAAAGAAATATTATTATTATTATTATAAATGATGATTTTAAGTTAAGTTGCGGATTGAATGTTTTTTTTTTTTTTCTTCTTCTGTTTAATTTAGCTAATCAAAGCACGGCCCCTCAACCCATCGCATTTTTAAAAAAAATTCTCAAATCACTTACCGGATACTATTTTGTTGGCGTCTGCGATCACCCTCTGTCGTTTTTTGTCTTTGTCGTCAAGTTCATCGCGCAACTTTTTGCTCATCGTATCGCTAACGTGACATTTGTGCTCGAGAAAATCGGCCATTACATCCCCCAGTTCTTTCTCCTCGCTTGCGTATTTATCTTTGATAGGGGTCGAGGTTCCGTTGAATACAGTGCCGTTTGTGATCGTGACATGCTGTTTTGCTGTTAAGTGCAAAAAAAAAATATGTGATTTAAAACGTTGTGAAAAATTGTATTGCTGATTCGTCAAAGCGCCAAAAAATATACATACAGAAATAACGAACAAATCATCGTATTATTTTCACTTATAAAAAATAAATCAATTAAAAATAAATATTGTTTTTTTTTTAAATTGTATTAATCGATATAGATAATATTTATTAACTGTACAAATCGAGTTTAAAAGTAAGTTATTTAGAAAGCAAATAATATCTATTTCAGATATTTTTAAAACGTATACTACACACGTATATATCAATGTGCAACTGTAGCAAATATTGCATTATAAGTAGATATATTTCACACAAATAGTATAGATATTATATACATATATAAATATAGACAAATATAAATGTGCTTTCTAAGAAGTGTAAAAGAAAGATTATGATTTCACATATTTTTCTTAGCGATGAAACGAAGTAGAGCCAATGTGTTATTCACAGAAATAATGCAAGCAGTGATGTCATATCCTTTCTAATGTAATCGAACGAGTATAGCATTGTAAACGTCATTCCGTTCGAAGAATATTTTTTTTTACTTTATATACTTTATAATAAAGAGATTTTAATATAAAAATTATAATAATTCATAAGATATAAAAATATATTTTTGAAATATACGTACATTTATCTCGTTTAGTGCCGCTTATATCGAGTTCTTCCATAGATCCCGACTCCTAAAGAAGAAAAAATTTATTTGAATAAAAAGAAAGCAAATTTGTAAACAAGATAATAAATATTCTTTTTCCCCCCTCTCCCTCTCCCCCTTTCTCCATAAATACAAACCTTGCTCTTATTAAAGTCATCGTAATCAGGATTCATCTTTGGATCCATCGTTGCGTCACGGCGAAGAGAGGTATCCCTTGAAGGACCCAATTCTTCTTTCAAAGAATCAAATCCAGGTTGATCTAATCGAACTCTCGCGACAGCTTTCTCCACGTCGTCCGTAATCAATTCAACGTTGAATATACATTTTTTCACGATGTCATCGCGGCCAATTTTGTTTAACGCTTTCTCCAAAGTATTTCCTACGAACGAACGAACAAAAAAAATATTATTTTCAATTTAATAAATAATCGATAGAATAAAATATCGATCGATCGATAATAATAATAATAATAATAATAAATTCAAATCAAAATAATTCTTCTACGAATCACGCGAAATTTATTCACATCGATCTAACAAAGATGTCAAGGATGAATATTTCATCGGTATATCCTTGATAAAATACCTGAGCTCATCGAAATCTGACATCTCTGACAAGGCGATCTTCTAAATAACACGGACAATTCACTGACGTACGTGTTGGTCGCTTCGTTTTCGTATTCTTGATACAAAGATATAAACATCTTGTGCGTTTATGCCTTCGCAAGAATAAAAGAAGGAAACAATAAGAATAATAATAATAATTGAAATGAAAATTAAATGAAGCGTAATAAACTGGGAAGACGATGGTTCGAAAAAAACGCTATAAATAATATGCACGATCACTTTCACTGTGTTTTTATCGAGATGGCGCGTATACGTCTGTTTGTTTTAACCGATTGCAGAACAGAAACGATGTGCTACGTGCATTTCTGTCGTACATCAGTGTCATTAGTACTGGCAAAAAAAAAAAGTGGGGGAAAGGAGTCCATAGGTTTATGTCAGGCATAATAATGCAGGATGAGATCACCAACTACGTTGCTCCTCAGATTCCACGCGTCTTAGTCAAACATAGCCTGTCTGATTAATCGACCTTGCCGAGAAACAGGTTCTTTTTTTTCTAAATTTTATTATCTCTAATGTAATGTTACTATATATCTAATGTTTGTCTACATAAGAGAGGACGTTTCACTCGATCTCAAAAAAAAAAAGAAAAAAGAAAAAAAAATAGTTCAACGATATAAACATGTTTATATATATAACATAATCACACTGTGAATAGCAAAAATTGAGGATAAATTTTATTGGAAAAGTATAAAATTTAAATTAATAAAAAAACATCGTGTATTTTGTAAATAGTGCGCAATACTTAATAGCGCCTCACTAATAGCAGGATAAGAAGATAAAAATAATAGAATAAATTAGAGAGATAATTAAGATTAAAAACGTGACGTATCGAAATTGAAAAGAAGTACGTAGTAAAGATATAGAGATTACTACTGTGAATCTGAGAACTATATTACGAATATATTTATAAAGATGAAATAACGAATATTGACAACACTGCGCGTATCATCGCTCATTTAATTAAACTTGTCAAATAACGACTAAAAATAAGTAAGAGTTATCGTTTTAAACTATGAATCTTCTCCTTGTCCCATATTTATAATTATAACATATTTAATCATACGAAATATTCAAATGTTGATCACCAAAACGAATGTATATTGCTTGTTTGAACATTTACCGATATCATTCGGCACAACGAGATAATAACCATATTAAAAAATGTAATCCTAAATGTTTTCGTTTCTCATATCGTGTTCTCGTAATACTTAATTACTTAATTTCAAGCGTTTAAATATTTATACGGATAAAATTTTTTTTTATCCAAATTACGCAGATTACGTTATTCGTACAAAATACAAAACAGTTGCTAAATATTCACTGTGATATTCACCGTAAAAATTCAGTCAGATTCGACAAGCTCGAGCAGATTTTTAAAATAACATCCGTTCGAAAATATTCATTCGCGTTTACCTGTTGCTTTATTTCCATTGCTCTGCCAAACTTTGAGCATCGCTGCAGCTTGCTGCGCCGGTTTGTTAGCGTACTCTTGCTTGATCGTCGACACTTCGTTCGGCGGTACGTTTAATTCCTCCGCGAGTTTCTCCCAATCTTTGTCCAACAAATTTGCAATATCGGTCAATCGAATAGTGGCTCTGTGAATAGCGTCTGGACGGCCTGAAGAGATAATTAACGTTTGCAATTCTCATAGATTCTCTCCTTAGATCTTTCCCGTTTCAAAAAGAGAGAGAAGAGAGGAAACGTTACATACTTATTCCGCCGTCGCGTAGAAAACTATAATTCTTCGAGAGCTCTAATAAATCGACCTCGGAGACGGCTGGTTCCGGTGAGATTTTCTCCGGCAACAAAATGTTCAACGTGCATATAGGGGTCTGAGGCAATTCGCCTTTAGGAACCTTCGGCTCGCTCATGAACATTATTCGACCCATCATATCGGCTGCGTCCGGATCCTTTATTCTCGCCGTGAACGGCACTCTGTTCTCCTTGAAAGCTCTGAACGGCAATTGAAGCTGTTCGCCGCTCTTCAACACAGGCACGAGGTTACCCGAAAACTCCATGTATTGCGTCTTCCCCTCCAACACCTGTGGGAAACATGGATTCGCGGAGGATGTGAAACGCGCAACAATACGATAATTACAACGTGTATAGGATGTACGATTCGCACGCGATTAAATTGCACGAAGGTAATACTTTACCTCCACGTCTCGACTCTTCGCTACTTCCGTGAAGTGCTCTTGATTTTCCAAGGTCTTGTCCTCTTTATCGTCGGTCATACAAAATACGCGCAATCTTGCCTCCAATGGATCTACTCGCTTTGCAAATACTACAAATCTGAGAACGGAACAAACGGTTCGATAACATTCCCCTCCGCACGTAAACTATAAGAGATGTAATCATGCAGGTAAAACGTAATTGAATGGTAATTGAAAATATAGAAAAAAAAAAATATATATATAGAGATTTGATCGAAGAGAGAGGGGAAAAAAAGCTATCTCTTTCTACAAATATATCTTGCGATTATATACGTTTTAAAAATTGAAAAATTCTTTTTCTAGAAAAATCGATATGTTCTGAAAAAAGATATGCAAAGAAATGATATATATATATATGTTACTCTCTATACGATAATATTCACTAGGGTGTGATAATAAATCTACTGAGCAAGCTGAAGAGCTCTCTTCCTTACTGT